AATGCCAAAAGTTACCGCAGGTGTGAGGAAGCCTCTCCAAGGCAACCTGAGAGAAAGAACAGCGTGGGTAAGCAAGGACGGCTGGGGGGCCGGGAGCAGGAGTTGGCGGGGCGCGTGAAGCCCTGCAAGGGTTCCGATCAGAGGGAGGTGGCATCGCTCTCCCCTCTGAGGGCCTAGAGTAGGAGTTTGCTTCACTTGAAGATGACAGAGGCCCAGATGTAAATGTCTGTGTCGTGCCCTCCAAATTTCACCTCATTACATTTTGGCAGGCGCTTAATAAGCGGAGCATAAATATTAGCCATTACTCATTTGATCCTTCCGTATTTGCTAAACAGCCGTGAAAGAATAACCCGAGCACAAGACAGGAAGGCAGAGAAAGCAGCACAATCCAGGAATGGGCATTCTCCCCAGAGGTTAAAAAAGAATTTCTTTTCACTCTAGGACTGGAGGACAAAAATTCATCAAAACTTGGAGACAAGAATGCGAGAGTAAGAGTCAGCCTGTGCGCGGCACCTCCCCGGTCAAGGCATCCGCTTCTCCATGTGCAGCATGAGCTAAGGTTGGCCGCTGTGCTCAGAGGTCATTTCTGGCTCTGCTCTTGCTTTTGTTTTTTTCTTATTATTTCAAATTAACATGGAGAAATAGGTAATTTTGGTCTTTACTTATTCAGGGTCAAACATTCTTGTTGTAAAATGATAGGATTTTAGGAATCTAAAGGACGAATATGTCCATGAAGGTAAATCGGTAATTGCCAGCTTAAATCTCAATGTAATTGATGTCAGAATTCTTTTGGGGTGGCTGTGTTACAAATTGAGTGTCTAGCATTTTTGGAGATGAGTTGATAAGTATGACTTTCAAAGGACAGGCTCGTATTTGGTAAGCAACTCCAAAGAATATACTTCAAAAAATTTAAAGAAAAAAATTAAGGAATAATAGAAAGAAAACTAGACAAAATTTGAAACGAAAAAAATTCAAACTCATCTAAATCATATTTAAAATATGTAAAGCCATTACAATATTCCTTTCATTTCTACTAAGTATATATGTTCCTCTTATTCTTTGGGATTTCAGGAGTTTTGGAGGTGGGAACCCTCCTCAATGTGCTCTACATCGTATAGTGGCATTAGCCCTTCAAGGGAAGAGTTAAAGCCCTAGTATTAAACCACAGAGACACAGAACTGCCTCAACCTGCAAGCCACCTGCATATATTTTTGTTCCAGAAGTTTGAACTGAGGAAGGGGACCCAGGCATCTGGGATCAACCTCCCGTTCGACTGCCACACTGCATTTCAATAGAAGAAAAGGCTGACCCACTGGAACCTCCTGATTCACCTTCCTGTAGGTGGCAGGCTTGGTATTGGGGAAACGGGAAGGCACCGTTTTCTATTAAAATAAGATCAAACCCGAAACCATTTCCCATGTGAGTCCTAGAGCTGTAAATCTTCATATGTAATTTCTAAGGTTGTAAACCTAAGATTCTTCCACGAGTGATATCTAAAGTGTGAGCCTATATAAAGGCAGAATGTTCCTTTGTTAGACGAGCTGGGTAATTTGGAAGCATCGCTGGGCTCCCAGCTGTAATAATAATAATAATAATAAACTCCTTCCTCCCGCATTCAGTGTTTGAGGGCTCTGTTTCCTGCGGCCCGCAGCTCCTGCTACAGAACTATGTCTTATTTAAGGTAAAGAAGAAAAACAAAGGTAAAGGCTAACTTTTATTTTCCCACCACCTTACACTCTGCAAGGTATTCTAGCTGGAGGGCTTGAGAGAGAGACAGCAATATTGCATGTGGGCAGCAGACATCAAGGATGTGTGGACAGTGCTAGCTAGAGACATCATGTTGCCCACAGCCACTGAGACATGTTAACCAGCAAAACACTGGACACAGACCTACCAAAGAAGCCGCTCCATGCTGTCCCTGCACATGCTCTGGGGAGACATGAGGAGTCACCACAGTGCACAGTGGCAACTGTGCCAGGAAAGTCCCCAAGCCAAGATCCGTCAGGAGTGAAGGTCATGGCCAGCTGGTTTGACGTCTAGCAGCACCTGTTAGAGTGTTTGATTGCATTCTGACTTAAAAGGACATTTGTGGCCTGGCACAGTGGCTCAAGCCTGTAATCCCAGCACGTTGGGAGGCCGAGGCAGGTGGATCACGAGGTCAAGAGATCGAGACCATCCTGGTCAACATGGTGAAACCCCGTCTCTACTACAAATACAAAAAATTAGCTGGGCATGGTGGCGCGTGCCTGTAATCCCAGCTACTCGGGAGGCTGAGGCAGGAGAATTGCCTGAACCCAGGAGGCGGAGGTTGCGGTGAGCCGAGATTGCGCCATTGCACTCCAGCCTGGGTAACAAGAGAGAAACTCCGTCTCAAAAAAAAATGGACATTTGTTACCCTTTAGCCAGGATTTTTAAAGACGAGTGTTTTTTAATATAAAACTAAAATACCATGTGTTCTGAGTCCAGGAATTCACAAGCACCTGTAGGAATCTTAACTACACTGGAAAATGACTTTTCAGTTATCTAACATACCACCTTCCTTCTGCTACCTTACTTAGAGACTGCAAAGATTTTAATCAGTAATTCTCATCATGAATGTTCTGGGCGTGTGCCAGTGAGGATTACTTAACTAAGCAAAAGGGTAAGATATGCATTTATGTATTTATATGCAGACTTATATTAGTGGCTCAAATTGCTTCTGAAAAGTATAAATAAATAATTCATCATTAAAATACTAATTCTGCTTCTAGACTAGAATGATTTAAAAAAAATGTTTATACATGTGTTTAAATTCTCAGATCTAAGGAAAGTAATGCTAACAAATAAACACTGTAGCTTATTTAATTCACATATGACAGGGGAAAGAGATTTTTGTAATAACATTGCTGCTTAGAAGAATCACATTTTAATCTAAATGATCCAAATAAAAGATAGTTTAAAAATAGAAAAATGAAGTTCAGAGGTAAGTATTGAGAAGTAAAAATAAAAAGCCACAAAAGGAATTTCTTTAGGATGAATGGGTAATATTCTAAATAAAAGTATTAATGTGTGTATTTCTTGTCAGAGTGTGTATGTTATAAGAATTGTGTAAAATGTTCTTTTTTGTTCATTCCAATGTAAGATATTAATCATAGTTCAAATACCACTTTTTTGTCAATATTTTGAATGGAAAATGCATATTTATTTAATTCATAAAATTATTCTATTTATTACATATATAATAGTTTGGTTTGGATTAAAAATGAAAATATAAAACTGAAAAGATTTATTTAGGAAAATTTTTGCATCTTTAGAAACTCTCTAGGTTAAAATGTGATATTTTAGTTGAAATAGATAGCATTGTATTATTGAGTTTAAATTATAAATACAAACAACAAAAAAAAAAAAAAAAAAGGAAAAGAAGATTTCTAGGTGACACAAAATTAAAGTAAGCTCTACTACCAGAAATAGAGTTAGTGACCAGTTCAGTAAAAATGATTATTTCAGATAAAATCAGCTCTCATTATTAGATTTTATTTATGGATTTTCTGGTATCTTTAGTGGTACCTTTAAATTCTTTACAGCAATCTCAGTAAACAGCCTAGCAAAAAATTTTGAAAAAAAAGAAGCAAACCAAAAAATCTCATTTATTGAGAGATGAAATTCTCATGGCATACTTTCCACATTCTATAATTTGTTCCGCATGCCTCCCTGGTCTTGGTTGGTGATAAAATAAAGTTTAATGTTGTTAAACTGAATGTACAAAATATATTTTAAAGCTAATGCTCTGTAGAACAATATTCTTATCATTGACAATACTATTGGATACTGATCTCTACTTGAGTCATTTTCACAAAGTCAACTGGAGCTCACATTCACAGCATTTAGAGTTCTGCTTTCCATACCTATATGACATGAGTTGTGTTGAAATTCCAAGAAATGTGTACTTGAAATACATGAAAGATTTTCACCCTAAGTCAAATGAATAACCCAAGAATTATAAAATTAAACTTTATTAATCTATGAAGAGATGTAGGTTTGATAAAGTCATTGCAGTCATGAGATTAACTGTTCAATATTTATACAATCTTCCATTCTTTAAAAATTTCTCCTTCATTTCAATGATAACAAATCGCAAATATGGTACATCTCTAATAGTCAATAACAGAAAAAATAAAAGCCTTTAATATTTGATAATAAATTGAAATGTATACATATGTTCACTTTTAAAATGAAGCCTATGCAGACCTTATGTCTATCCTATATGATTAGCACTATAAAATTGAATTTACTCATTTCCTTTTAAAAAATGAAAACTAAGATGAACAGAATACAATGCCTCACTTACTATTGGGCTTTGTTAGTGTGAAAGATTGTTATTGCTCCTTGTATTAAAGAGCATCACTTCCTACTCCAGTTGGTTAAAGGAAGATATGCAGCCGGGCACAGTGGCTCAAGCCTGTAATCCCAGCACTTTGGGAAGTCAAGGTGGGCGGATCATGAGGTCAAGAGATCGAGACTGTCCAGGCCAACATGGTGAAACCCCATCTCTCCTAAAAAATACAAAACATTAGCTGGGCATGGTGGTGCCCGCCTGTAGTCCCAGTTACTCGGGAGGCTGAGGCAGGAGAATCGCTTGAACCCAGGAGGCAGAGGTTGCAGTGAGCAGAGATCATGCCACTGCATTCCAGTCTGGTGCCTGGCCACAGAGTGAGACTCTGTCTCAAAAAAAAAAAAAGAAAGAAAATGAAAGATATGTACATGACATCATAATGAAAGTTAATGACTTACATTCAATGGTAAGGTAAAGTTCCCATATCCTTTGCTAAATTTCCTAAATCAAATGCTAAGAGTTTGCAGGAATTTCATGAGGACCTTACCTAATTTACATCCCAGTCCAAATATTAAGAAGTCAGCTATAGCCATTCTTATCTAATTATTAATCAGCGAACATTGAAATGCACCCAAATTCAGCCCTTATTGCACGGCCTTTGTAAGGATAGACTAGAAAGGCAGGCTACCTTTATGCTTAATCCAAATCCTCCTACTGTTTGTCTTCTGATGGTCACCGTTCTTTCCTGAAAGACAGGATTTTTAAGAATGGTTAGTGTTTCCTAAGACTATACTTACACACCGTTGTTTTGTTTTCTTCTGGGTTTCGCTTTTGTTCTTAAAAAAAAAAAAAAAAAAAACACTCTCTTGTGGTGGCATAGAGTCTCCATATCTTGCAATAAATAGTCCTTGACTTTTAAATCAAAGGACTATTTGTTAAAGGGGATTAAAGTGTTATTAAACTCCTCAACTCTTAAAAGTAAGTTCTTCTCAATGATTATTTTGGACATATTTTGGAACCTTAACTTTTATACCTTTTCTTATTTCCACATCACATATACTTGTTTTCCAAGAAATGACAAGTTTTAGGTTATATAAAAGTAACTCAAGGGCAATGGTAAATATGATCTTGGTAAAGCAGGGTCCTATCTCCATCACTGCCTGGAATTTGGGAGCTAAGCTGGGAGGCTGCCGTGGCCAGCACAGAAATGATTCATTTGTGTGTGTCTTAGATAGAAAGTGAATAAACCAGGTGCAAAATAAATTCATTGCTTGTTCATAAAATGAATAAATTACACGTCTAAGTAATAATGATAATTGAATTACCAATTTTAAAAGTGGGTTTCTTTTTCTCTCCACAGTAGAAGTAAATCGGTCACTGGCCTATAAAACTTAAAAATCACAAAGATGGTGGCATGAGAACAAAGAGCCACATTTGGACAAATCCTGTAATTCTCAATTTGAAAAGTCCACACTGCTCTGTTTTTGGGCAGTCGTGTACATAGTGCTTACTGTAACGGCATGCTGAGGGCTGAGGGCTTTATTTATAGTCTGCTCCATTATTTCAATCTTCTCAAACCTTCCCCTATGCAGAGCCATTCGAGACACTGACCCTTTCCCACAGCATCTGGGGTAGTTACTTGTTATCTGTTCCTTATATCTCTACAAATGCCTTTTGCCCTCATTATCCATTTCTAAATGTAAACACTGCCCTCTTTCTTACAGATGAATTGCTTCCCTTATTCCCTTGTTCTATAGAAACTGTGGAACAGATAATATCATTTAAAAATAACTAGGAGGAAATTGGAAAAATATGTGCTTCGGATGGCTCTTGCTAAATGTTTTAAGATAGCATGCAACTCTTCATTTTGGCAAGGTTAAAAACTTCCTTTTTTAGCCAAAAGTTTAATTTCTATAAATAAGACTAAATAATATGTGAAAAGCAAGATTGCCAAACTGGAATTTGATGTATACAATTAATGACTTATTTTGAATTTTAAAAATAAGACTTTTTGATGAAGATTGGTGTATCTTGACTTAGAAATTATTATTATTGAATGCAAATGAGTAGCATTCAGTAATAAAAGTTTTCTTTATTTTGACAATGTGCTGAGTAATTTCATGTTTCAAAAATACTTATGTTACTCTTGAAATCTGACATCTCATCATACTTTCAAACCAACATTAAAATTATAATTGTACAAATAAGTTTGTATATAATGATTTATGCAAAGCAACTTGAAATACAAGACAAAGTATTTGTATCAAATAATACCACCAAGTATGTTTTGTTTTTCAGCCTACTGCTGTATAATCCCACAAATGCAAGCACAAACATGGGAAGATATATTTTACGATTTATATCACAAAACCTACATATGAACACGGCTGCATACACAAAAGCAAAAAGGAAGGTGAAACATATGCACTATAGGTACACAAAATCCACTAACAATTTAAAATAAACTGTTTGTATTAGAAATATGCTTTTACTGAACAGAATAAGTGCAATCTAATTAATATTTATTATTTCTCATTAAATGACTCACTAGAGAAGTTGAATATTGCAAACAATATTGGAATTGAAGTTAGAGAATGTGCCAATAACTCAAATAGCCACAAATTCATATAGCTTCATATGTTCAGCAAATTCCTTAAGCCTTGTGAGCCTATTTTCAAGTTTGCAAAATGCTGATAAATAATACAAGCAATCAAAAGCTCTGTTTTGAGAATTAACATTTGTAAAGAACCCTGGCATATAATAGAAATTTGATACACACACACACACACACACACACACACACACAATCTGATATTCTATACAGGGATTCTTATATATAATAGTCATTTTAATATATTTGTATTATAGAATATTTCAAATACTGGAAGACTCAGATGCAGAAACAGGTGAATTAAATAGTGACCATTGTTTCCTATAAAATAGATAGGCAAATACTGCTTTTATAAAACTGACCACCCAACTAAACTCAAATTCTCAGATGGCAGAAACTATTTCCGTTCTTCCTTTTCTTTAAAAAATAAATATGTGATTCCTTAAAACAGTATCAAAATCAATGGTCCAGTCATCTAGACAACCTGTGTCAGTTGTCTTAAAATACCAATTTCAGTCAGAGCAAATGAATTTTAATTAGCAAATGACATCCCCTAAATGTTGTAGAGCATTTGGCATAGCGATCACTGGCCATGAGGAAAACTTGGTGGGTAATTGCTGCTCAGTAGCAAAATGTGTACTGAAATGCTGCTTTCCCTCCATAGAAACAGCAGCACCCTGGGGCCCTCAAAGATCGTTTTTTTGAATTTCTTTACTCATTCTACGCAAGGCTGCCTTCTAATCTCTGGTGGAGAATATTTTGAACATGTTCCAAATCAAATACAAAATTGCTGATGCAGAAAACATTTTGGAGAGATGAAAGAGTCAGCAGAAACTGCCAAAAAATCTCAAAAACAGCACTTAATATATTTTTTAAACACCTGGGCAGACGCACATACACAAGCAAACCCCAGCCACTGCCTTCCAATGCTACTTCTTCATTAGCTTACTTTGAAGAAAGTTAGGAGAAAAAGGGCAAAACTAATTACTTTGTGTTTTAAAACCAAGATCATACGTTGGTCACCGCAGGCAGCAGGAAGCATAAAAGGGCAAATAACTGTTCTCAGGGTGGCCTCTGCTAATGTTCTCCCAATTGTTTGCATTGGCCGTAGCTCTGCCACTACTAAGGGGATACAGTAGCTTTATCCCCTTACAGCTCTGCTTCTTCCCTCCCCCCCAAAATAGATGCAATAAAAAGAAGAAATGAACTGTTTCAAATACTCGGCTCATAAATCAGACAATACCTGGAAGCTGATCTGAAATTGTATTTAGTTAACACATCATGAGTGTCGTAAAGGCTGTTGCCGGGTAACAAAGCACTGTCCTTTGGGAGACCAAGGTATTGTCAATGATTTCATTTTGCAAGACACAAAAATCTGGGTTGATGCTCCCATACAGACTCACACACACACACACACACACACACACACACACCAGGGAATCTGTGTGGATCGCTCCCGTGTGAGGACCCTGGGAAATGGGCCTCACCATACGGTGAGCTTGAGCCCAGACACAGATCCCCGGTTGGGGGAGTCGAGCTGAGGGAAAGCAGGAACCGAGAGAGGGACTATGTTATTCTAAATAATTAACAGACATTACTTTATGGATATGAGGACTTGGGAGGCAATGTGTCCACTTTCGGCTTCTTATGGTTTATTGCTTGATTGTGTTCATTTTGGACCCTTGTTACCTTCATTGTAAAATATTAACTTAAGTATTTACACTTGGTAACTTACTTACCGTAACTTACTGGGTGTAACTGTAACTTACTTACCATAGCTTACAGGGCGTGACTGTAACTTACTTACATTGATCTATTGGGCGTAACTTAATTACTGAAAGTAACCTTCTTACTGGAAGTAACCTACTTAATGGGATTAACTTACTTACTGGGCATAACTTAGTGGGCGTAACTTGCTTTCTGTAACTTAAGTACATTGATCTGGTGTAAACAACTTTGACTTCAGAAAAGTATATAATGAAAAGTATTGCAAAAATAAAATTGCTGCTTGGACATAGCCTAAGCCAGCCCTCCAGACTCCGCTTTTCTATTTTCTTTCACTTCCGCGCACTCTCTCCCTCAGGTTGAACGAGACATCTACGTTGGCGGTCTCGGGGACTCCTGCAGGTCGGTAGTCCCCCAGCAGACGTGCCGGACCCCAACACACACATACATACACACACACATACACACATATATGTATACATATATATTAAAGAATGTTAAATAATATGCCTTTATTTAATATTCTTATTCCTTAATTAGATTGAGTCCAAGATCATATCAGACTTTATCAAGACTTGCTGGACACCTAAATAATCACCATCAATGTTACAAAAAAAGCCTTGTATTAAATACTTAGTATGCTTTGTAGAAAAATATAATTAGCACCCCTGCTTTTTGGGATATTATATTATATGTATATATAGAGAGATTATATAAACTATATGGGAAGAAAAATATACACGACACCAAAAAAGTTGGCATCGCATATCTCAGGCATTGAAATTTTGAGATATATATGTGAAAAGATTAGGAAGAAATGGAAACATGCAGAAACTAAAGAGATTATCATTGGAAAACTGTCTGTACTAATTTGGTATTACAAAAACCAATATATCATATAGGAAAGAAAATGGAGAACGCTAATAGTTCTTTTTGACAGTTGAGGAAGAGTAGCCAAAGTTGAAAATGGGATAATGAAGATGATGGCTTCTAATTATTAAAGATTTACTGTATGTATTTATAACCTTCATAGCACTTACAATTGTTTCTTGAAAATAACTATGCCCTTGACTTTTTTCCTCCAAGTTTTCTGGGAGCTGAACCTGTGTCTTGCACAAAGTTATCTCCCAAGCATTTAGCACGGGTCCTAAATCAAAGTTTGATATTAAAATGTTAAATGAATAAATATTCACTCAAACATTTTTCTAAGTAATTATCACAGCAACCCACTGGTGTAGGAATTTTCTTTTTCTAATTAACAGATGAGAAAATCAAAATGTAAAAGAGTGAAATTAACTTGACTGAGATCCAAGTTGTGATTGAAACCGAGGTTTCTCTGATCTCTGCGGTTCTTTCTATCCCAACAGGCCTGAAATAAAATGCAGAATTAGGATTTTTTTTTAAAAAAG